CTGCAGTGCCGTGGTGACCCACGCTGGGCTGGTGACCCACGCGGTGACATAACGGACACGCGGCTCAAATCCCACCTCACGAGCCATGAGGCCCCCAGCTCCACTGCGGAGGCACAGCCGGGGCTGTGGGTGATTTCCATCATGATGATTTCCCTGGATCACACCCCTCAAATAATGCAGGCTCACCGCCCTCCTGCAGCTCTTGGTGGGCACACAACCCCCCCTGCCACTGCACCACCAGCTTCTGCACCACGCTCACTGCTTCCTCCTGAAGGTGAGGCACATGGATGCTGGTGGTAGGGGAGCGTCGGGAGCCGTGCCCTCCTCCTGCTCAGGAACGAGGGGCCCAAGGCTTTCTCCAAGGGGTGAGCAGGGGTTTGCCACCCTTCTCCAACCTCTTCCAAAACGCAGCTGCTTCTGGGGTGGAGGCACCATCGTGGGCGCTCTGGGGTGGGATATCCTGACCCCGGCTGCTCCGGCAGGTTTGTGCCCTCGTTCCTGCGGCTCAGCTCCTGGAATGTCGTGATGTTCATCACCTACGAGCAGCTGAAACGCGGCCAGGTGGCCACTGGCCAAGAGGTCCCCTCCTGAGCCCAGTGCTGCCATCGCCACCTTCCTGATGCCCAAGAGGATCACGTCTGCCAGGCCCCCACCGAGAGAGCACAGCGAGGCTTCAGGTATAAAACTTGGGGTCTGTTCTTCCAGGGTTTTGGTCTTTCCCTCCCCACCCTGCGCACAGTCACCCCCAAACCTTCGCTGTTCCCACGCACGAGCCAAGCTGGGAGCACATCAACCCCCTGGAAACTCCTCCACCACTGTGGTGCCACTGTGTGGGGCGGCAGCTACGGAGAAGAGTCTGGAAAACAAGGTGGATCCGGGTCCCCAGGAAAAACAGCTGCAAGGGTGCTGGGATTTCAGGTGCTCGGTACTGGGAACAACCTCTAGCTGGTCAGTGCTGTCTCCAGAGCTTTATTGGTGGGAGGGAGCGGGAAGGTCGTCGTCCCCTAGGAGAGGAGGGCGCTTTTCAGGAGCGTTTTCTTGTCCGGCGTGAGCTTCTTGGGAAAGCAGATGTTGAAACAGATGAGGAGGTCGCCCTTGCGCCGGGGGTCCTGCGGCAGCGGCATCCCCTCCCCCGGCACCACTTTGAAGTACTTGGGGCTGCGGAGCAAAGGGAAGGGCTGGGAGGAGCCGCAGGGTGATCCCACCTGGCACCAAGCCCCGACACCGAGCGGTGGCACTGCCACGTGCAGAGCCCCACGCGTGCTTCTGAGCGGGTTCCTCAGGTCAACATTGCTCCTCCAGCCTCAACCAGTGCCCCCCACCCCACTCCAGCCTTCCATCCCCTCACACCAAGCCCTCTCTTTCCTCTGCTACCAGTAACATGGCCCCAGACCAGAAGAGTAGCCCACAGTGGGCATCCTCCTCCTCTAAGCTGGACCCCCCCCCATGCCCCAAAGGTGCTGGAAAAGGTTCTGAAGCCCCCAGTAACACAGGCAATGGCGCTTGGGAAGCACCCAGCTCTTGCCAAGGAGGAACAGGCCAACGCTGAGGTTCCTCCCAAGCGCCCGTTCACCTCCTTGGCCACCAGCTCTGCAGGAAGGCCCCTGTCCAACCCCACCAGTTGCCCCCAGTGCTTACTCCACGATGTCGTTGATGGGGATGTTGAGCAGCCTCCCATCCAGCGTCCGCACCTCCACCGTGCAGCCGATCAGCGCCTGCGAGGCACGGAGCGGGACCCGGAGCGCGTTGGCAGCCCCGGAGGGCAAACGTGAGCCGGGGGCTCCGTCCCCTCGCCCAGCTCTTTACCTTTCCCAAGGGGATGGTGGCGACGTAAACCAGGTTGTTGTTGGATCTTTTAAACCTCGGGTGGAGTTTCTCTTGGACAATGAAGGTGATGTCAGCTGGAATGACATTTGGGCCCTAAAATGGAGGAGAAAAAAATCAAGATACTTGGGAATGGTTTGGTGTAACACAGCTGATTTCCCGCAGGGAAAGGTGGCACAAATGCCTGTCCCTTTGTTGCTGCTTTCAGCTGCCTGGGCAGAGGGGAAAAGGATTTAATTCCTTTAAGAAAACAAAACATTTTTGATAAAAGACTCCTGCTAAGCCAAGAGAAATCGGCCTGGCTTTCAGAAAGGTGATGCCAGGAAGCAAACCCAGGCAGGAAGGGCTCCTGGGAGCGTTTCTGAGCACAGCAAGGCTGAGGCACTCCGTGAGCTGTGCCACCAGCCACCCACAGCCTGCAGAAATGGGAAACCTGCCAGGAGTGAGGGGTCAATCCCGAGGAAACCTGGCCCAAAGCTTCGTGCCACGCTCAGTACCTGGTCTCCTTCCTTCGGGAAGGTGATCCTGGTGCCCTGCTTCCACCCTGGCTGCACGTCGATCGTCAGGATCTTGTCTCTGATAGTGCTTGTCTGACCGTCCTCGTTCATCACCTGGGGAGGGGGGACAAGGGGGTCAGAAGCACTGGGTCCTGTCCGGAGCGGTGGGTCTGTGGTCAGGGGGAGCTCTGCTCTGTCATCGGAGCAGCCAGGACCAGGCGCTGGTTCCACCCGTGACGGCACTGAGGCCCCGGGCTGGATCACGACCCTGCAGTGCTGGACACAGTCCCACAGATGGGGCAGGGACCACTGGGCAGCTCTGCAGTCACCGCAGAATGGTTTGGGCTG